CCATCGGTGGCCGAGCATCTCGTTAACATAAGCACGCACCGTTTGTGCATACTGGGCAGGTGCTTCATCATGTTGCCTCCAAATGGTGATGGAAACACCATCAGCCTGTAGATGCGGAATTACGCACGTCTGCAGTATTTCCTTGTAGGACGATGCTAGGAAAAGTATAACATTAGTGCATTAAGAAAGTAACTTAACGGTCACATTACTGGAAAAGAAAAATGGTCCAACAATTTTCGATCACTTAGTCCAGTCCAAACCATTAGTTTGGGACTATGTTACACACGGGAAGCTCGGCAGCGTCGTGGATTTGATGTCGCGCAGAAGTGATGCTTATGTATTCCGTACAAGTGGAATATTGCCTCATCGGTGAAAATAATGGTGTGAAGATCCACGTGATACAAGAACCAGCAGCAAAATGCAAGCCGCATCTCCGGATCGAATGCGTTCAACATTTGCACTTGACGTGCACCATACCGACGAAATCTTCTCTCCTTCAAAATCCACTGCACTGCGTAAGGGGTGGTGTCACAATTTTGAGCAATTGTATGAATGCTGAGGTCCGCTCTTTAGGCCACTTCGCGGATAACAGCACTAGCTGAACTCTCATCCGTTGTGGTGCAAGGCCGCCCCGTAATTCGGGCGTTGCACACACTACCAGTGTTCTCGAACTTCTTCACTAGTTTTAACACATACCGTCCGTTGACAGGCCGCATTCCCGAGGTTATGCTATTGTACCTTCTCGCTATCGCGGCTGCATCAAGCCCGCACTCCCAATATAATCGAAGAATCACCACGCGCTGATCATCAGCGACTTGACGTAACTGAGGTTGCATAACATTCACTGAAGTGACGGAGAAAGTAATCCAATAACAAAGGAAGCTTATCGTGTGCATAAAGTTATCTGGCAAATCTAAGCAATGTCCGGACCGCAATTTTTCGCCTGTCTACGCACAACTATGAATGACATCATTGACCTATGGGCTAACAGTTATTAGAACAGAGAAATTCCTACCCAAGGTACACAGGTTTGCGGTTAGGCCCACCGCTGCGATTGGATAGCCTGGCAAGGAATGCAAATTATCTGTCCCTCGTAGAGACGCATGTCGTGCTGTATCGGATGGAACTCATACGGCGATCCGTCCCGCTTTTCCAATCGTACTGTACTGATACGTTATATTTATGAATCATAAGTTACTGTTAATTAGTTCTTGTTGCATAGCACGTAAGAAAAGGGAAAGCGAGCAGAGTATGGACGAGTATGAAACAGTGTGATTTGTAAACCTTTTTGATCAGATTTCGAGAGTTGTAGGTATTCAAATTTTTACTTGCTCCCACAGTACAGTATTCAGCAGCACGGTCCATTTGCAAACATCGACGCAATTCTCGATCCAGGGATCGTCATTCTTCACTACAGCTGGCGTCGAGCGCGACCGAACGGCGTCTGTCCATCAGCGACAAGTAGATAGGAGTGATCCAGCTTTTCGGCGCGTGATGGGCAACTCCACAACTGGCAATCTGGTATCTTTAATGCGCATCCACTGTGTATTCAGACCGTCGTCAGAAGCTGAGGCAAGCAGTGTCGTTACAAAAGTCTGATAAATTTTAGCGCGAAATAATGCGTGATCGGAGTCCAGACAAGTTGGACAGTACGATCGGCAGTCTGTTACGTCTCTGCGCCATTGGTAACTTATTGCTAGGTGGCCAAATTGTGACCACTCTTGTCTTTGAGAAGGCGGGCACCAGGTGGCAGTCTGTCTCTTCGAAATCAGAAAACGTGTGCTCAAAATAAACAAGCGATGATCAGAACAAAGAGTCAGTAGTCTGTCTCCATGGGTTGATCAATGATACCGAAACAAAAACTACCCCCGAGATCGTGCGTTAAAATTGCCGGGAACGATGACAATAGTAGCCTTTTTGGAGGAATGTAGTAAGTCATGTAGCTGTTGCTGAAAGTAAGCCTTGACTGCATCCGAGCTGCAGTCTGTAGGAATGTAGGTGGAGACGACAAATATGGCACTCGCAGCAATTCAAGGTTTATTTGACTTACATAAACCTAGTAGTCAGGCAGCACATAGCCGACGGTTGACTGGGATCCAGTCAAACAAGGTGACATCGGCCTTGTCAATCGGCGCAACCCAACACCGGCCTGGCCAGAAGGGGCAGCATGTGGATCCTCGGAAAAGCGCAAATGGTGCTTGATATCAGGGAATGTCAGAGGTCATCCGGATGACGGAAATGGAGTCTTGCAATCCGGTTTCCGAAAACAACAGAAGTCTATCGATATCGTGTCAAGGGTGCGGATCAGGCACGCTTGCCGTCGATCCGTATCAGAGTGCGAATAGTAAACGCTGCGATGCCGCATGGAGAGCCAGATCGAAAAAAGCTGGGGCTTCAGTGGAGTGAAAAAAGCCCGTGATCGTCCGGCACCGAACACCAAGAGTTTGACTTCCGTCAAGTATGACCAGTGAGCTGTTGCTGGTGGTGACCGGGGAGTACATAAGTGTAGTTAAAGAATGTGACGTGGAACGACCTGTGAGTGGAAGTTGAACAGTGGGGACAGTAGAGTTAGTAGACATGGCAAGAATGAATGCAGTAGCATAATGCATCCATGATTCGTCAGTGGGCGTGATACTATCCGGTTGCTAAGGCCGAAGTAGAGAGTTGTTTTAGGACACCTTACCCCAAGCCTATGATCAAGGATCTAACTTACAAGGCAGCAGGACAGTATGAGGGCGACGCAACCAGTTGAGAGCCGGTGACCAAACAAGTGGTTCATATGCCTTTAGGACCACAAAGAACCAGGTACCTAACACACCCTTAGATTAAAATGCCCCTCAGAGATAGACAAGGGGTAATAACTTTAATTAGTGGTGAGTCAGGTCCGCCATGCCACTGTGATATTAAACAGGCACGTGCTGGAGCACTGCCACCGAACCAATCGATTGAAGGGGATGGTCTCGAACCACTTAGTTGGCAGCAGGAGGAGGTTGTTTTTTAGTACACTCGAGTGTGACAATTTGGAGGTGGAGCTGACTAAGTTACGCGCGGTTAGCCTGACGACTGCATCATCATTTTGGAACTTCTCCACTGAGAGACCCACTAGGAAGTAACAAAGTGGTGGGCCAGCGACTAAATTTTGCACTCTGATTTGAAACTGCCCAATGAAGAAAGCCAAAAGCTTCATAGGGTGCACGTTGAAATTTCCAACGAGGAGAACGAGACGGTGAGACCATGTCGAAATGGTATTCATGGTAGAAGATAGCCGGTTTTCTATTCCTAAAGAGGACATGGTACAGCGGTGCACGATGGCCACTAAACGGGTTGTACGGAGGGAAGGATTACCTGGCAGATGGGAAGACCACGAAAACAGGAGCGGGCAGAATCAGGAACTGACGCAACCAGTGAGACCAAACAGAGCAACACATACCTCATGGAACGAACTGAGACAATATCACGCGTGACGACTGGTAACAAATCTGAGCTGAGAAGGCATTCGCCAAAAGCGTAATAAATCAGCCGAATATGAGAGTATTAGAGCCTCCCAGACTAAACACAAGCAGAGTTTTGCAGCCACCACTAAACAAACGAATCCTAGCCTACCAGAATGGGACGAACAGAAGCGGAATTATGAAGTGAAACACGTAGCAATCATTCAATGGCTCAAACTGTGGGGGCGCAAGAGGACTTTGGACAATTTGGGGCAGCGTGAGGAAACATGAGTCACAAGTGTTCAGCTGCATGAGTGGTTGGATTGATTGTTCTCCAGTCAAGAAAAAGTGTGCTTCATTGCTGCGTCATTCTGCTACAGAATGTCAACACCGAAGCGAGTCAAAAACCTGAAACTCTGAGTCACCAACCAGTTTGAGATGTAGATCACAATGACGGCACGAAACTACACCACCTCATGTAGATCGGATATGCCAGGTAAAGTAATCTCCGCATCAGTGACTCAGTAGTTAAGCATGAGAAGGTCCTAAAACGCTGCTGCTTAATCGAACTGAAGCTCAGACAATTTGTTGTTGAGGCTTTGTGCATTGACATACAAACGGAAGAGTTCCTTAGAAGTCGAAAGAAAGTCTGAGGGTACAGGTGACAGTTGCGGACTACCAGTGAATCTTACGAGGTCGGCAACTATCTAATGATAAACCAATGACGCTGACCTTTAGGCCACTTCATAGTAGGGAATAGAAAGCTCAGAGAATAAAGTAGGGAATAAATCGCCGCTTTTTTGACAGTTGGTCGTGTTCCATAACATTCCGTTTCTAATGTAGAATTTGCTGGGGTCGTTAGCAAACCCAATTGACTTTGCGCTCACTCAGACAATCCTGAGCTGGAATTGGAGGTCTTTAAACGTAACCCGGAGAGTAACCCATTGGGCCACTAGTATCACATCCCAATGAGTTTGCTGTCATATGTGTGGATTAAAGAACTATTTTTATTGCATATCTTGTAGTTGGGAGAACGGCAGTTTTCGGATTTGCTTAGCGAGCAAACCCTTTCACTGCTAGTCGTGCGTTGTGTGTACCGTCTGCTGTGTTTGAGGAAAAAGTACATGGATCTTCGCTACTCAGATCCGGTTCGTCCAAATGAGCGAGATTTCACGGTTGGGATTTGAAGTTATAATTGAATGACATTTACCTTTAGCGTCAGTGCTTAATTCCCGGTTTTGTTTGTTTCTTACCTTGCATCTCCCATTCTTGTCCTATGGAATCGCAGTAACAGGCAAATCCGGAATCCGATGCCATCAACCATATCTCATTGTAAAGATCGCTAGAGATAAACTAAATGAAAGCATGTCACCTGCGTGTGTCGAGTAAGAGTGGTTAAAACCTACGCATAAACAGAGAAATAAAAGCAGGTAGCAGAGAATATCGTGATCAGCACAACACCCCAGAAGGAACAAGAGATGGAAATCGGACGAAAGAGCGCACGAATCGTGAACAAAAACGTTAATCGGATGAGAAAATACCTGTCAACAAGCAGAACAAACGACTTACACGAGTTTGATCAAAAATAAACACACGTTCAATTGCAAGCGCGCGCTCGGTAAATGAGGGGAAGCTGACCAAAGTGAACGCAGTACAAGGAACGGCCATGTAGGTCACCATGCGAAAGGTTTCTCGAATCCAACCCATAAAGTTAGGTAGATAGAAACGTCCAAAACTGGCAGCAATAAGCTGGAACGAAATGGGGAATGGTATGCGACCTAAACGATCACGATCCTATCCAACAATAAAGAAGCAATGGTTGTTCAATTATAATGCAAGCACAGGGACACTGGTCAGTTAAAAAAGACATTTTCCAGTCTGAGCCGCTTGGAAGCAACAAGAGCTATAAAACGGAATCCCTCGGAAAATCGTAGCCAGAGATCCGCTATAGTTCGGGGGCCATGACAATGTGGTATGGCGGCGTACTTTCGGCATCCGGTCCGCCCTATGGTACACACGAAACTGTAACAAAAATGCAAAAATGAACTTCAGTGCTCCTGCGCGACGCAGGATAGGAATTGCTGTTATCACATTGACTAGCTACGCGTAGTTGCTCATACATGAGCTGAGTTTGGACAGCTTCCAATGTCTAAGTATGCAGCTTTTGTGAAGAGCAGCTGTAAGGTGCGCGTTTGAAGACCGTCACCTCAGACTGACCCCAACGCAACGTGGGAGTTAAGTGAGTATAGAAGTCAAGGTGACATTTCCTACATCAGTAGTGTCTGGTGGGATCGCACTGCAAACTAAACGAGTCCTCTAAAACAAGTGGTTCCCTTCAACAACTTGAAAACCGCAGCGAAAAGACAGATGCAAGCATTTCGTATTGTGTTCTCAGTACCAGTCACAACAACCCATATGAATAGGAATAACTAGCAACGGGTGTGAGTAAACAAGCTTGAAATACAAAAACTAATGACGCCAATTCGGCTCTTATGTCCACGGTGTTCAGAGGTTGACAACCAACTGCTTATGGACCACAATACAGGATGCTCAAGACTAAATGGGACAGCCTCGGTGAAACGAAGGAATCTCAGATTAGAGTGACACAACACAACTTTGGACGCGACATCGAGCTGAATCCGGGGACCTGTGGTTGATATGTGCTTTAGTAAAAATATTAAGACCAGAAACGAGTGGGAATTAACATTTCTTTCCCGTATACTTTCATCAAACCAAAGCGTTCACATACCAGGGATTGCAAGTGTCAAATCGGGCTGGGAAATTGGTTTCCAAGTTGTTTGAACAACCAAATCGGCAAATTAAGGCTGCACTCTAGATCGTAAACAAAGCGAATAAGGGAAATGTAGTACGTCAAACCCCAACTGTTCAAAGTAACAAGCTAGAGTGACAAGCAAATGGCTAGCTGACTGTCTGTGGGCCAAGGTAGTAGTATCTGACGTGTACACAGGTTTTGGCACATACAACCCCAGCTTCAAATGAAGGATATAGGTTGATCGGTAATGGACAAATTCTGCTTGCAGAAGTCTTGTGAGAAGAGTTCAGATAATAAGTACATGACGTTGAAATCATTCTCAAGAGCTACCTGCTCGCAAACAAGGAGGTGGGACAATAAGTACGTTTGGAGATCGCAGTTCGCCTTCGTAGAACCGCGCAAGGATGCGCTCGTGAATTCTCTGGCTAGGTGCATCGTAGTGCGATCTATAAATAATGCACAATAGGAGCACGAGCAATGAAAGAGGGCAGGCCATCTCTCAAGGGTTTCGTTGTAATAAACAATGCCAAGCGGGTCGCGAAATATGTTTGCTAAACATCTTTCAAGCGCCGAGATAGCATACCAGCAGCAAAATCGCACCTAAATGGTAGGTGCATAAACAGCTCTTTTTTGAGAACAATGTTCCTAAGTGGCTTCGTTTGCGCTCCCTCAAGTGCTTAATGATTAATTTTTCGGGATAGCCTTTTCTATCAGGGCGACGCTGATTATCTGCAATTCTTCTCTGGTAGTATCGGGTGTGCAAATACTCCGCGCCCTGAAGGTAAAAGGTAAGACTAAGATTCTCTTATCTTGTTATGGTACTGCACAGTCAAATTTCATGCACTGCCCAGTCCATGTATGATTTCTGTGCGAATTTCTACTGCAAGACCCCCCAGAGTTACAGATACTGTCTAGATCCAGGATGATAGTCTGTTTAAGAAATCATGTTCGCGAGTGAAGTGAAGATTCGCATGCGCCTCATTAAACGCTGCCAACAATTGCACCGTATGCTCTCATGATTTGCAAAGCACGAGTGTGAGCAACATAATGTACACACATTTCCATTCCACCCAGGTGCGTTCCAAGCGCTTTTTGGGCGTGAGAGTCCATAGTGCGCTGAACCTTGTGGTGGTGAAATCAGGACAGATCGTCGACCCGCTGCTGCTAATTTCGTGTTGTGGGAAGATGTCCTGGACGCATCCTCGTGGCGAACGCTGGGAGGGAGTTGGGTTACACCCGTTTTATAACAAAGATACAGGACACTATTCCGCGTGAGTCGGTTCCCTGACTCATGGCGCTCGGGTGAATACTTTATCGAAGGCCTTGGCTGAGTACCCGAGTCGTTCTCCAATATGGAGTGGGAGCCATCGCAGTATCCTAGTTCAACACCCCAACCATGAATTAAGCCAATAATATTAAGTCCGTGCAGTATCGGCCGTCGTGCAGTGGCCTTAAGAAAAAGTCACCATATCTGCTGCAAACAGTGGGGTGGACTAGCAAATTCACGCGAGTGTTGGCCCCTCCCTTCTTCTTCACCTGTACATAATCACCCCGTCCCCGTTTCACCTAACCCACTACCACCTCCAATCCAGGACGTCACCTTCCATACGGTTGCCCACCAATGCAATCGTACAGCTCCGAGCAAAGCGTTCAACAACGGGTGCTGGAACGTGCGCACTTTGCTTGACCGGAATACGAGTGAGTGTCCCGAGCGACGCACTGCACTGGTCGCAATGGAACTTGCGCTACAACGTCGATATTGCGGCGCTCAGTGAGATCAGGTTCGCTGACCAAGGTAAATTGGACGAAACAGGTGCTGGCTACATATTCTACTGGGTACGAAACGCCACCTCAGCATCACGTGAACATTGGGTTGGATTCACAATATTCGATCGCATAATTGTCACCTGGTTGGTGAAACAACAGGCATTAGCGCGCTACTGATGACTGTTCGCCTACGACTCGGAAGAGGTGGGTTTGCCACTTTCATTAGCACGCACGGTACGATCATGTGTTATCCTGATGACACGCGTGATCAATTCTACACTCAGTTATCCTCAGATAACTTTTCAGTTGTCTCTGGTGTGAAGCAAGGCTGTGTCTTAGCTCCTGCCCTGTTTAATATTAATCTTCAAGCAATGATGGCTGGTGCTTTTGATACGGCTTGTGCTTACGGTGTTCGTGTGAAACACTGTATTGATGGTGAGTTGCTGAACATCTGTCGTTTCCGTGAGAGAACCCTAGTCTGTGAGACAACTATCCGTATGTTGCTGTTCGCTGATGACTGTGGGTTGTTCGCATACAGCACGGATGAGTTGCAGCACATGACTAGTGCTCTGGCTTCGACAGCGGCCAAATTCGGACTCACCATCAACACAAGCAAAACTGTCTGTCTCTTTCAGCCTTCACCGGAGGTGCAATCTTCAATATTGCCGCAAATCCGCATTGGTCATAAAGTACTGGATAACACCTCACGCTTCTACTACCTTGAGAGTGTGGTGTCGACTGAGCAGCAGATACACAGTGAGCTGCGTATCCGCTTGTCGAAGGCAGCGGTGGCATTCGGAAAGCTTGAGTACCGAGTGTGGAAGGACCATCAGCTTACCGTTGGCACGAAGCTGATGGTGTACAAATCCATGGTGCTGTCCGTTCTTCGATACGGCAGTGAAACGTGGACGACGAACTGGCGAGAAGTGAGATATCTCGAGCGGATCCATCAATAGTGTTTTTAGCGACGGATTCTGCGCACCAGTTGGTGCGACAGAGTTGCAGACATGGAAGTGCTGCGCCGAAGTGGGATGTATGCAGTGGACTGCATACTTTTGCTGAGACACCTTAGGTGGCTCGGTCATGTGTGGCGTATGGATTCGACGCGGATACCGAAGAAGCTGTTATATGGTCAACTGATTGTTGGTAAGCGACATATGGGGAAACCGATGTTTCGATACCAGAACATGATCAAGATGAGTTTATCACGTTCTAATCTTGATTGCAAGTCATGGGAATCGAAAGCGGTTGATCAGCGTACATGGCGCGACCTGATCACGAAGACAGTTACCGAGGTGCGAGGGAAAACCCTCGCGCACACAGAGAAGCGGCAAGTGCGAAAGTGACAGTCGCCAATGGGGTGTACTCAATCTATGTCAAGCGCATGGTGCTGTAGCACATACGGTCGCCAGTGCCGGAGTCAGGCTGGTCTATTGAGCCACGAGGGAGTTCAATCGGGACATGCATCGAAACGACAAGTCATGCTGAGACACGAGAACCGGCGTAGCGTTTGTAGATACGCCGCATTCGATTTAGTAAAGGTGCGTTTGCGTGCCGAGTCTCTTTATTTCACCTGGTATTTTTGCTATCCTGTCTTAATGCTTATTTGCTTACCTCATTTTAATGTCTGTCTGAATAAACTGATAAACTGCAAAAATCGCTAAAACGAAGGGTGCTTAACTTCGTTGTTGGCTCCATTTTGTATATGTTGATCTCTTTATCTGCCATCTTCAATTTATCGCGGCTGTTGATAATCCATTTATACCATGTGCTAATTTTGTGACATGTACGTATGGTGTTTTCGACCAATTTTATTGGTTATTGCATTACATGTGATTGACTGTTGCTTGGTATCCCTGGTGTGGCTGCGCTTGATGTGCATGTTGACAAGGTGCCTACCTCCATAACACCCTCCACTTCGTCTATACTGGTTCTAGGAAACAGTTAGTCGTTGCTGGAGCGGACGATGTGCATGGTCCCTGTGGCCGTGCTAGATTCGATGGGTGGTACGGGGCACCCAGTGTGGAGCGGACTACGGTTCAGCCACCGCATTGTGTGTGCGCCTGATTCCCAAATACAGCGTGCTTGTGTTTGCCTGTGAAGGAGTGTGGGCCGGCTCCGTTGATGAAATGTGGCTCCAATCCGGATTCCTCCCGGTCTTATTCCTTCGGGTTTACACTGGATATAGGGTGTGTAGATGGAGCTGTGG